GGCTCTGCCGCCCCGAGGGTGGCCGTGGTGCCCGGCGGGCCCCAGCCCATGAAGAGCCTGGCAAGACCCGGCCACCTCACAGGAACAGCGCTGACCTGTACTAGCCTGGCCCCTGCCCACCCTGCAAATGCGGCCACAGCAGCATCTTCTACAGATGACCTTGAGCGAGCCACAGCACGTGCTGGTTTTCTTGAAGGATCATGCAAGGAAGGCTCTGTGCTGCAAGGACTGGAGGCACAGCGGGGTGCAAAACTGGGATTTGCAGCAGGCTTGGGGAGTCCGGGGAATGGGGGTGCTTGGGGTGTGCGGCTGTGCCACCGCAGCCCTAGGCTGCTTCTGCAGCACTGCCACAGAGCAACGCACGGACACAAGAGAATACAAGCGTTGACCAAAACCAAATCCCCAGACCCAATAGCAGTGCATGTAACAAAAGGCCAAAGGGCTCCCCTTTGCTCACTCGCTCAGGCATGTCTTTATTTCTTTATGTATTTTTTCCAGCCTGGGTGTGTGTGTGGAGGCTTGTTTGCAGCTCTGTCCGGTGCGGGTGCTGGCCTCTCCTGTCTGCTGCCTCATGGAAGCAGAACAGGTGAGCCAGCACAGGGCTGTGGTCATAACCAGCAACAAAAAGTAGGGGGGAAGGATTGTGTCAACATGATCAAGCCATTTCGTTTCACTTGGAGAAAACCTTTTTTTTTTTTGAATCAGGGGTGTTGTGTGTTGTTTTTGGGGATGGGTCTTTGTTCATTTTGCTTTGGGGTTTTTTTTTGGGTTTTCTCCTTACTTCTTCTTAAGTTTTACACAGCCCTAAGAGGTTCACAGCCTCGGTTGTACCACAAAGAGGACAACTAAGAGTGCTTACTGAACAGCAGAGTAAGCTGCTGCACAGGTTTTCAGGGTTTTTGAGTTATTTTGGGTTTTGTGTTTGGTTTTTGTACTAAAGAGAAGGGGAGGGCCTTTTACTTGTGTCCAAACATACCTTAGAGGACCATTTTAGTTTCACACTATCTAACCAGCTAACAGGCACACGCGCATCGCCCCCGCCCCCAATGCCTATTGCTATCCAAGTGTTGTGTTAATATATTCTTTTTAAAGTTAAGAACGGGAGCTGGTGAAAAATGAACAGTTTGTCTTTTGCAGGTGAATGCTCAACTGCTGTTTCCCCTTCCACCCTCCCTACCAGTTGTCTCCTTTTTTCCCAGGGTGGCACTGTGGCTGTGGGGTGACATGGAGGACAACAGTGACGCTTGGCCTGAACTGGGCTGGCAGGACAAGTGGCCAGGGAGTGGAGAGGCTGGTGGAACCAGGGTTTGGGAGACTAAGTTGTGAGCCAGGCACCTTCTCCTCTGCCCATCCTGCTGCTTTGAAAACAAAGCTTGCCTCATTTCTAGAGGCAAAACCCCCCAAATATGCATGTAAAGGCAACTGGCCCTCGCTTGCAGAGCAGCTCACATTGCATTTCTCGGGGGTCTGAGGACACGTGACTTATTTTTTTCTTTTGTTTGGCCTCCTGCTTTCCAGCACAACCAAAGCATGTGGCCAAGAGACCTGCCACCCTTGTCCTGTGTATTGTTATAGACCACCTCAGAAAGAAAAAACTAGAGTAGTAACCACATCTGTAAGCAGAGATAAAAACCTAATGTAAGTTTCACCACATGGCAGTTGGGCTTTCTAGTTGTATGTTGGCTTTGCTGTGTGTTTTTGTGCTGTCTCTCCTCAGGCTCCTCTCCCAGCACCTCCTTCTGCTGTAACTTACTGCATAGCTTTTGAACAGAGGCCTGTTTGGTCAATGTTGACTCTCATTGTTGTACTTCAAGGGACTTCCTAGTCTTGTTGGTCTTTTAGTGTCAAAGTAATAAACACAACAGATTTTCAGAATACACAGATGTCCTCTTCTTAATTTCTACTCTTTTACAAATTGCAAAGGAACCTGAAAGCCAAGGAGCTCCAGGGACTGGCTGCAGGGATGAGGGAGGCTGGGCAGTTGCAGGATGTGATGGAGGGTCTGGAGCAGTGAGGAAGGGGCAGAAGCAGCTGGCCAAGCAGGGAGACAACCTTATCCTGGAGAAACCACTGAGGAGATGGTGCATATAGAGTCAGGCAAGAGCTGATGCTGGTTGAGGACCAGCATGAGGCCACGTACAAGGGGGAGTATCTATAATGACTGGCCTTCTCCCACCCCTGTCAAAATGGAGGAACAACAGCAAACTGTAGAGACTATAGAGTCACAGCAAGGAAACAGCCAGGGAAAGACAAAATGTCCCATGACCACATGTAGTAAGTTCATCATAAATCACATACCCAGTGTTCACTGGCATCAAACTATATCTGCTGCCTCACAAGGAGCCTTCCTTCCCCTGGGGCCATGCCACAGTGGGCTGCAGAGCACAATGCGTGCTCAGCCAGGAGCTTGTTTGTAACCCTGCCCCTCCCCTGTGCCCCACGGTGTCCTGCTTCTTACTTCCTCACCTTCCAGGCTGGTGTTGCCCAAAAACCACATGGCCTCTCTCCTGACTCGTGGCCCACAAAAAGGGCCATTTGGTCGTCCTAGAAAGCTGTCTGGCTGCCTGTGCCTGAGCGGTCACATAACAAGCAATGACAAGGTGTCGTTGCCAGCAGAAACACACCATGCACAGAAGCATCTTTTGCAGTATCTTTTTATTTATAAACCCCCCCTGAAGTTGAGATACAGAGTAACTGGCAAAAAGTCTCACAATATAGTAATAAAACATCTTTATTCACTCTTAAATATAATCTCTAAGACTATAAGCCTGTAATTCCTGTTAAATCTCACTTAATTGAATGGTCTTTATAGGCTTTCTTCATTGGAGAATGAACATTGAATACTGGCTTCAACACAACATTGTGAAAATAGTAGCACAGGGAGTAAATCATGAACTTTTGGTACCTCAGGAAACATTGCAGAACCTGGCAGATACACAACAAGCAGAAGGTGCGTGCTTGCACAGGGCAGCAGAAGTGGGACTGGGGGCTGCATGTCTCCTCCCTTCCACTGGCTCATGGCCAGAGGACAAGTACAAGGTGACTGCAGACAGCATGAGAGCCTGGGCTTCACGCCACGCAACCACAGGAGGAGGGATAAGCAAGAAAAGAGTGAAAGAAATGAGAGACGTGGCAGGAGGGGTTCTGGGAGCAGCACTGCTGCCATGGCCCCCCAGCCTGCTGCACCTCTTGGCTACAGCTCATGGTTCAGGCCAAGGGTGACTTGAGCCATGGTCACCCTCTGGTTTCTAGATGGTTTGAACTGAAGTTAAATTATGAGACTTTCCCCACAAGTGGGTAACTTCTTATTCAACTTAAGCTATCCCCTAAGCTGGAAGGTCCTGGTGCAAACAACGGGAATTAGACCAGATAATGAGGTGAGAGAAGAGGGGCTGTCTGAGGGCCAGATCTGCTGGTCCAGCTGAAATGACAACTGGAGAAAAGTCTCAGGAATACCTTGAATTAACACAGTGTCCTGTCCTGTAGGGTTTGCTCCCCATCTTGATGTTCACGGTTCCAACCCATGAGAGCACAGCTGCCCTGTGGTGCCAGGGCTCAGGCAGACAGTGCAGCGTGCTGCTCCCCAGTCAGCCCGGTGCACGCTGCCTTCTCCCCAAGGGATGGCAAACAGCCAGGCCTAGCTGAAAAACATCTCCTCAGAAACAAACATGAGGGAGAAACTGTGGCGTAGATCCAGCGAAAAAAGTACTCTGCGTTCGGTGCCTTTTTACTGTCATGTAAAAGGAAAATAAATGTGTCAGCTGCTCCCCACCCCATTCCCCCCTC